TAGAGAGAGTATCTACATCTATATATATAAAAGGCTGGAATCGCACAGTATACTGACGGTTGCCAGCACCTTTTCTGTACGTGTTTTACGCTTATTGGATAGATCTGGTTTTTCCTTTCCCCTGTTCTTCTTCCGGTTTCGTGAAAGTTCCGGTAGCCATTATAAATTAAAAATTAAGAGCTACTTCTTGAAATTACGTGTTATCGCTTCAATGTGTCAGCAAAACCTTCTTCTTCTTTTATATTGGATTTTACTTTATTTTCTTTATTTGGCTGTTTCAAAATTACTACGAATACCTATTCAATTTTCAGTCATTCCTTCTTCGCTTGTTTTCCAGATTTGTCTCTCGCTTGTCAGAAATTAATAAAAAGAAAAAATCTTCAAAAATGCCCTTGGTTGGTAGCTTGTTTATCCCTATTTAATTTTGGTGTTTGTTTCTTCTCGTTTGTTTCATAAATTTACAATGCGTTTGCACTCTAGTGGCTGAAAAAAAAAAAAAAAAAAAAAGAGGACCCCAAAAAAAGTTACGATTTCCATTGCCTTTGCTAAATTCCGAAATTGCGCCAAGCAATTGAATTTTAACTATCCTCTGTTCATCTATCTATTTGGAAAGGGACTGCAATAGATTGTACCTCTGTTCTTGAAGAAATCACAAGGTCAGTTTTTAATCCAAGTTAAGTTTTTGTTTAATCGATGTTAAAGGTTTTAATTCGGATTTTTATTTCTTGATGAAACTTTCCCGTAATGTGATGTTTTTTATTCCAGTAGAGTAAAGGTATTGTCTATAATTCAGGATTTTGACATTGAATCGCAGTGCCTTAGCTATTTAAATAGTGAACTATTGCAAGTTTCAATTGAATGAAGTTTTAGAAAGTTTAATTTGTAGTAAGACCACTGGATATACATTGATTCTTTCAATTTCTTTATGTGACTGTAATGATATAGGATTCATATGGAATTTTTCTAAGTTATACTCTAGAAAGAATTTCAAACCAATTATGGAATTAGAGGAATATGTCTTTCTTTGAATTCAATTGTGTCAAAAGTTGGAGACCATTTGGTTGCATGTGAGGTGTTTGATTATATGCACCTTATAGATGACGAAAACCAAAAGGTGGTTGACCATGATTGATGACTTTATGAAATTATCGCACGTATTTGGTGGTAAATTATCTGCAATTTTTGTGTTGTTTAGTTTCTGATGTTTTTACTTTGGATCTTTAGTCGCGAAATCCATGCCATTTTAATTAATGTCAAGAGGTGTACTTCTAAAGTATGCCGGTATAGATTTTTCTTCTGTTTTTCCAAAAGAAAATAAAGGTCACAAACTGACTCTTATATTTCAGTGTCAAATTAAAATTAATTTGCTGTAAACTCATTGTTGCATAGAGGCACAACTGCACAAATAATGTTTATCCTGGAACCAAGTAAAAAATCTGAAGCTACCAAGTTGATTAAAGATTCAACTAATAAAAGGTTGCACTGTAATATTACTTGGCTATCTAAAGTTAAAACATTGCCTTCCATATTATTCCTGTTTTTTTTTCTTTTTTCGTTTTGTTGTTGTTGTGAAAAAAAGGAAATTAACAATGCAGGTTAGGTGTTTGATTCTTGGTATAAAAGAAAATTAACAATGAATTTTATATCTTCTTTGTCAGAAATACTTTCTGTTGGGTTTTGTAAGCTGCTTTGAGATTCAATAACCTGGTTAGAGATGGCAACTTCCTCAAGTTCATCCATCAGCAGGCAAGTGCCTTAATTCTTCTCCTATGCTTGTTTTGATTTATATTGATCTAAATGAACTTAAGATACTATTTTCTTCTTTACGTGCAGATTGTTTACTTCTTAATACAGCCATATTTTGATCGAGTCAAAACTTGTTTGGTGCTCTAATAATCTGTCTATCAGCCTAGTAAATTAAGATAAGTTGTTTAAAGCTCTAATACTACCTGTAAAGAGGTGAGTTCAAGCAGACTGTAACTATTGGCTTATGCATTTCATATTTTTGGAGTATCTCCGTTACCTCCTTGTTCATGTACTTGTAAAACTTTGTTACTGATCTTGACTTTTGGAAATTTTTGAATTTGGCACTACAAGGTGATAAAATCAAGTTCCTTCATGGTACGGTTGCACAGCTTGCAGCTTGGTCTTTTAGTTCTAAACCAAATTGTAACTTCAAGTTTCTCATTGTTTGGTACTCAAGACGTGAAATAACGGTGAGTTTCGGCAACTTATTGTGCATATAACTTGAATTTAAGAAGGAATTTCTTGGATGGAGTCGTTCCTTTCAACCCTGATATGCTTATATTTTACCTATTTATTATATCCCTAATTTGTTATTTTTGCAATATATTTTGAGTATAAATATGCTATTTATGTGATTTTATGTTTAATTGTAGGAATTGTACTCAAATGAAGAATTGTTGAATTTTTGAGCTAAAATCGAATTAAAAGCAACTCAATGGGAAAGAATTGAAGATTGGAGCAATTGATGGGGAAGAAATTAATGAGTTTAGAGAATTGGAGGCCAATGATGCAATTTTGGAATGTTTAATTTAGTTTTTGGAAATTGGCCGAAGGTTACGATGAATGTGCGGCCGATTTGGGATTGAAATTGGATAAGAATTTTAATCCTGATATTATTTGGGAAACAAGTTTTCTTGTTCTTCAAGAAGTAGGGTTTAGCCGGAAGCCTATAAAAGGAGGATTAGGGATTTATTTTTACAACAGAACTAAACCGAAAACTGACCGAAAACCCAAACCCGAACTGCATTTTCTCCACCGAACCTTCACCTCCACCGAAGCTCCCCTTCTTCTCCTCCACGCAGCCCTCCTTCACCGAAGCAGCCACCACCTTGCTTCCATAACCACCACCTCTCCTCCATCACCACACACGCAGCACCAACTTCTTGCTCTTCTCCTTGACCATCACCGCCGCTGACCACCACATTCCCTCCTCCTTCACCGGCAGCATCAGCACCCTCCACGCAACTCCAGCTTTTTCTCCTTCACGCACACGCAGCCGACAGCACCATTGATCACCGGTGAAGCGAGCAGCAAATCCGGGGAGTTTTGGCGGTTTTTTAGCTTCGTTCGGGTTTTAAAGTTTAATTATTTAATTTATTTTTTTTTATTATAACTCTAAATATTATTGAATTATTTTTACTAATGTTTAGTAGTTAAAATATTTTAATCTAGGGCTTGGGTGTAGCCACCGAATTTATTTGGTTTATTTGGTTCATTACTATTTGATTTTTCTATTAATTAATATTTGTTACTCTTGATTTAATTCGTGTAAGTAATTGGCCACTATTTGCATGTCTGAAGATATTAATCGAAGTAGCGAGAGTGGAAGATTAATATTAGTTCGTAAGAATAATAAACTTAGGTTGTAAGTTACAAGAGTAAGATTATAACCTTTGCAATACTTGATTCTTAATGATCTTAATGTACTTTTGTTAATCCCTATAGTCACGAGAGTAGTCATAGGATTAACCTAAGTAAGAGAATTATAGCGCGAGAGTGTATAGTTCTTAATTAGGTGAATCGTTGTGAGATTAATGGAAGTTAAAAGTCAAATACTTATGAATTGAACTCAACCAAATATTCGGTAGGTAAACCCAATGTCCTAGGTTTTCTTTGTCTGATTATTTGAATTAATATTATTTTCTTTTATTTTATTTATTTATTTTAGTTTTAAATTTTATAAATTTGAGATCATCATTTATCTAGATAATAATAGGAGTAATTTATACCTGGTAATTAGTATTCCTTCTCTGTGGGGATCGACTCTGCTTTCTGCTTTACTACTAGTAATTGTATTAAGTAGGTAATTAATATTTGACTAGTGTGACGACGGCTTGTCAAACCCCAAATGCACGTGGCTTTAATCTTGGAGTCAACATTTGTAAAAGCAGTAAAATGTCTGGGTTGCCACGGCAGAAATCTATAGCTCATCGTCATCAATTTAGTGCCTTCAAGTATGTAGTTTTTTTTCATCACTTAACCTGAATTTTCCATTAAAACACCATGTAAATATTTGTGTATTTTTTTTTTTTTTTTTGAAATGGGGTTTGTATACATTTGTACAAAAGATACCTAATGTGTATTAATATATTATAAATTTTCTTTTTTTACTTCACAAATCTTTTTGTGCTTATATAAAAATTACTTCGAGCTGTTATTTTCATCGACAGCACCTCGCGCGGTCTACCACCTGCCTAGTATAAATAAAATATTAAAATGGGCGAGCACAGTTCAGTAATACGTAATCCAGTTGAAGAAACTGAACCCTGTATATTTATATAATCATTTTAATTTCGTGACGGCAAATCAACTCTTGATTCTTTAATCATTTCGTTCTCGCTTTCATAGCTCGCAACCTTTGACCTTAGCAATATTAAAAATACAGAGGATGCTAGCCAGGAATTCTATATATGCATATCTTGAGAAATTTCTCAGCAGAACACGGAGAGATTAACGTAATAAATTTCTCTGTCTAAAAAAAATTATATTGAGTTTTGAAATTTAATATAAATTATTCTTTTTTAATATAAAATAAATAAATAAATCAAAAAAAATTTTGTTAGCTACTCCTTGTTTTCTCACCTTTTTCCCCCAAAAAAGAGCCAATAAGTCTTAAGAGAATTACATTAACACAGAATGCGTATAAAAAATCCCGATGACATTGTATCCCATTATTCCCAACTACAATATAATTTTCGATGTAAGATAATTTTAGCCACTGCGTACCATGATAACAAATAGCCACTAAAGAGGACATGTACTATATTATACTTGTATATTTTAATTATATGATGTTAGATTAGTTTACTTTTATAAAATGAATTATTAAAGCGACTTGTAGAAAACGGTTATTGCTGCTTTATACATGAAAAGTTCATATTTATAATGCTAAGATAGAGGAAGAATTCCACTAGCTCATTGGGGAATACAGCACCAAGACGAAAAGAACCCAAAAATGTAGCGCACATGAAATGGCTTGCTTGCCGAAAGGATGGCATTTTCACATATAACCCCGGCGAAGTTATATCTCACGTGATCCAAGTTGCACGGCCAGAGCCTAATAATGTACATCACCTTAGACTTTCGCCTTTATTTATTAATTATAAGAGAGATGGAGTAACATTGACAATCGTATCATAACCATTAACCAACCATGGTTACAAAATTTTGTTTTGACTATTCAACAGTTGAACCATTTGTTGCGTGTACGGTGACTTAACGGAAAAATTTAATCACGGATATAGGATGGTGGTAATATGGCGGAGTCACTCCTGATGGTGGTGGTGGTGGTGGTGGAGGCGGATTACTCGCTGGCGGTGGAGGCTGAGGTGGAGAAGATGAGTGTCCAGATGCAGGTGGTGAATCTGGTGATGGAGTGAAATGAGTGTAGGCATTAGCCCTCGGTGGCGGAGGACAACGCCTAACTCTCCTCTTTGGGACAACCTTCCCTACTTTGGAAGACATCAAATGTTGTTGATCAATCTCATCTAAAGACGGTCCATCAACACGACTAGTCTCATCATCGGACAAGTCTTGATCAAGCCGTACTACTCTTGCTGCCTTGACGACCACGACGACGCCGGCTTTGCCTTCAAATAATCTCCGCATAAAAACATCAGGGATCAACAACAAACTAAGTAGCAAATAAGTAAGGTGATTAGCTGCCTTCATGGTTAGATGGTAAGAGAGCTAGATTCGTTGGAACTCGATCGTTAGATTATCTGATTATGATTTATGATGGATAAAACCGAAAACACCAATTCTGTTAGTCGTAGTCCAGTAGAAGAAACAGCATCCATCCTATATATATATAATCGTCCGATTTCGTGAAGTGCAAATTAACTCTTGATTCTTTAATCCTTTCTTTCTCTCTCTTTTAAAATTTGGAAGTTTGAATCACTTTGAACATAGCAATTAAATGCTAATCCTAATTCTTTCCATCGTGTAAGATTGGGGAAGGTCTATCTGATACCCTCTTCATTTTTATTTTGGTTTTGTTAGCCGTCCTAATTTTTTTTTTCTCTAAATAGTATGTACTTAACAAACAGTTAAAATCCTAAACCCTCATCAGATCATTGACAATAGCACACATAGGGCTCTTAAAAAAAACATAATTTTTTGTCTGTAGACTTTCATTCTGTAACTAATTTATACTGGACCCCGGAGCAGACTTCTGCGCTGGGTCCGTGAGTTTAGTGTACCCAAATTTTAGTTGGTAGAAAAAAGTGTTCTTAGGGTTGGGGGGTAGAAATTTATATGTTTCTCGCATTTGTGATATGCGAAGAAACTGATATTCGCATTTACCATATGCGAACATCTTTACATAATTAATTAGTTCAACTTAAACAAATAATATCAACAAATGAGATAATTCAAAGTGGGCCATCACCCAAATTTCGCATATGCCAAATGCGAAGATATTAATCTGAATAAATTAAAGCGGACACAGAAAGGAAAGAGAAAAGTGTGGGCCATCATAAGACTTTCGCATTCAACGAATGCGAACAAAAAAATATAGGTAAAAAAAACGAAATTATCTTTTTATCCTATTAAAATCTGACTGGTCAATAGCTTATCGACACGTGGCAATTGCCGACAATTTGGATAAATGTTCGCATTTGGCGAATGTGAATGTGATGGCTAGACTCATAATTTAAAACTCATCACCCCCAATTCGGCAGAACTAAAAACCATCAATTCTTCTTGCATTCATTTGAAATTTTCATTCCGGTGGAAGATGCGGAGCAGGAAAGAGGCATTTTTCATATTGAAGGTTGGATGGTTGGACTGAACGGGAGCAAGACAGAGGCAACCCATTTAGGTAAGTTTTTTTTCTCTATGAACGGGAGCAAGACAATGTAAGACAGAGGCAAGGCAGAGGCAAGACAGAGGCAACCCATTTAGGTAAGTTTTTTTTCTCTATGAAATTTGTAAAATTTATACATTCTATTGTCATTTGGGGCTATTAATGTTGTTGTGGTGTACGAAATTACTAAATTTAATAATTTCGGTAGTTATTGAGAATTGGTTTTAGAAAATTTGCTTCAATAAATATATATTTGATGTAGAATGAAGAATAAAAATTATTTTTATAATGTGAATTGTTGAATTTTGTTGAATATTATGAGTTATTTTATTAATTTAGAGAATAACCCGGTTGATCTCGAATTTTGGTCTTTATATCTCAATTTTGTGAATTTTATATTCTGACCCAATTATTTGTAATGTTATTGATTTGACCCTGTTTTATTTGTTTTTATTCTGTTAATTTTATATTTTATCACTAGCGTTGAGTGCTAAATCCATGTATTGTTGAATAAATTTAGTTTTAATATATCAAATACATTGTGTAAATCTAAATTTATTAGTTTGATCAAAATTTGTTATTCTTTTAATTGAAAACCTTGTTATATAGATGTCGAATTATATTTTTTGAATTATTAAATTATGTTAGAGATTTTTTACTAAAGATAGGACTTATTGTTAGTTTTTGGAGTAAATTACTGCTAGTGGGGTAGAATATTGTTATAACAAGCATGAATTAATGTATTTGTATGTTTAATTGAATAAAATTAAATGTACAGGCCCTTAATATGTCTTTTCCGGGTCCCTTCGATCTGAATATATTCTGGTCTAGTGATCGATCATGTTGGGGATATGGAGAGAAGTTATTTATGCCCGATGCAACAGTTCATATCGATCGAGTGTGGAGTTTCTCTGAACTTGATAATTATGTACAAAGGCTGTTAGAATCTGAGAACCAACAAATACTTCCTCTGCAATATGTTTTAGTCTGCACAGATGAGTACGGCAGAAGGGGGCAAGCGCCCATAAGAGACGACGAGTCAATGTCATGGATTTACCGAGGTGCCCATTTGCGTCCAGCATTGTACGTAGAGGTTGCAGATGAACCTGTTCAAGATGTTGGGGAAGGAACTAGTGGTGGTCAGTATGATGGTGCAGGGAGTAGTGGTGTTGTGGTACCAATGAAGATGACAATGACACAGAAGATGACGTACATGGGAACAGTGACGAGGAGTATGTGTCGTCCGATGAGTCTGATGATGATTACAGTGACCATGACGCATCTTCAGTAGTAATATTTTGTATTATTTTTATTTAGTGTATTTGTATTTGTATTATTTTGTATTATTTTTATTTAGTGTATTTGTTTTAGTTTGTATTATATTTATTTAGGGTATTTGTTTGTATTATTTTTATTTAGGGTATGGAGACGGGATCATCATCGTCTTCGCAGTCTAGACAATATGACCTCCAGCAGGGTCCTATAGATAAGAGTTTATTGGTCCTGCATGATGATCATAGGTCATTCCATACATTTAGGGGTAATAAGGCTTATTTGAAAGAACTTTCCGCATACCGAGTGGAAACTGACCTATGGCCTGAACTAGACAAGGCTACCCCACAGATACATGCCCAAATAGCAAAGTTTGGTCTAGGGCCTCTTTTTCGAATTGGTTCTATTAAGTTAGATTGGGCCCTCATTACAGCCTTAGTTGAGCGATGGCGGCCTGAGACCCATTCATTTAACTTGCCTGTCGGAGAGGCGACGATTACTCTACAGGATGTCGAGGTCCTTCCGGGTCTGCGGGTTGATGGCCATGCAGTGGTTCAGGGGACAGTACCTCCGCAGGATGTGGAGTGGGCCGATTATTTAGAGAGTCTGTTTGGATTCCAACAGCGTCCTAAGGCCACGAAGGATAAGGTAGTAAACATCACAGATATAAAGAGACACATTATGACTAATCTGCCACCTGGAGATGCTACAGAGGATATGTACCTTCAGCGGGCACGTTGTTTTGTCGGATGGATTTTAGGAGGGTTATTGTTTCGTGATAGCAGCAGAAACAGTTTTCCCTTGGGCCTGGTGGGGTATTTAGAGGACCCAAATACATTTCGGGAGTTCAGTTGGGGTAGTGCTACACTGGCGTGGTTGTAATGAAATCTATGCACTTCCTCAGTGATCACATTGTCTGGACAGGGTATTTGTGGCTGCTTACTACTCTTACAGGTAATTTCAAACCGCCCTTGTATTTCTATTTGATTGTTAGTTTTTTATTCATTTTATTTTAATTTTTTTCGATTTATTTTTATTTTCCTTATTTGTAATTTTTTGTTAGAATCCTAATATTTATAATTGTATTTTATTTTTAGTTTTTTAATTATTGTATTTGTATTTTTAATTTCACGTATTATTTTATTGCAAATTAGTTATGGGCTTGAGAGCGGATATTGACTTTCCGTCCGGAGTTATGTGGGCCCGTACCAGATCTTCAGGGGTGTCCCTTGGGCAGGAGGTAGTTAATTTTCAACTATTCAATAATTATCTTAATTAGTTATATTTTTTAATAATTTTTTTCCGTTTTTCCAATCAAAACTATATTTTTTGTAGGTGGAACCGTCCTAGAAAAATGGGAGACATCACACGATTTAATCTAACCGCCTATCGAGACCAGCTTGCGGTTTTGCAAGAACATAATGTAAGTATTTTTTATTTGAACCATCATAACGTATAAATCAATTTATTTTTTTTCTTATATATTCACATAAATTTTTTGTATTATCTGTCCCTCTACAGTTTGTTTGGATGTCGTATTCTCCTGCTATTCTAGCAGACATTGATCCATCTTGCTCTGCCGGCTCCGCCATATGGATGTCCCAGACTTGGCTGCTTTATTTTGGTATCCGAGAGCCACACATCCCAGGCAGGGTGTTGCGCCAGTTCGGCTTATTGCAGCGGGTGCCTGACAACACTTTCATCATGGAGAAAAAAGAAATAGAAAAGTTGCATAAGGAGACGCGTGGTAAGAAATGTCGAGATGACGTCTTACAGAGGTGAGAGAATCGACACAACACCCTTGCAGGTCTTCAGACAGATATGACTCTTGAACCCCAGGCAGCACCGGAATATCTAGTGTGGTATCAAAATCACATTGTCACTTTGGTCACCAATCCATCAGACTATCGTCAGCCCCAGGGTTTTCAGGGATCTGCTGAGTCACTACATATAATGGTAAGTTACAGTTCTACTATTTCTTTAATCACACCCATATTAATATGAATTTTATACATATAACTTTCTAAAATGTTATTTCCTATTTTTAATTTACCATATATATGTTCATTTATAAAATATATTTATTATATATTTTTAATTTACCATATATATTTATTTCCTTTCATAATTTTCAGGCCAATTTAGTGCAAAACATGCGGCATATTACTCTAGATGGGCTACAACGTAATCCAGTGATTCTTGGAATCACAATGCCTTCCTACAAATGCACGATTTGACACAAGAGCAATGATGTCAAGCAAGACATCTGTTTGGGCTGATAGTGAGAACCCAAGCCAAGATTTTGTTCCACTGACCCAACCCAGAGTATATCCCACCTAGGCCTCCCGAACCGACCGAGGCGGCTTCCGGTTAGGGAGTGGGAGAATGAGAAAACCTGTGGCCACCCTGAATACCGGCGGGCAATCTTCTACCCCCATGTGTCTCCTTACCGTCCAAAGACGCCACACCACCATCCCTCTCCTCCTTTTGAGCAAATGCATTTTGATTCAGATTTTATTAATCTAGATCCTAATGCGGGGGTTTCTTTGAGACTAGTTACGAGGGTGGTCATCATAGTCGCATCTAGGTGGTGACGATATCCATAATGATCGGAAGATGATCAAGATCATGAGGATATTGGGGATCGGGAGCATGATGATGATGCTGATGATCTTGAGCATTCCTCTCATGATCATTATGGGCGCGATCGGGACGGGGCCCCTGATGGTACCATGCCTTTTACACCGATTGCTTTGGGTAAGGGACAGCGCAACATGAAAAAGAAGAAAAAGTGCTGGATGACAGATTCTCAGGAGAAAAAGCGCAAGATGCAGAAAAATTAGATTGAATTGTACTTTTATTTTATGCTATTTTATGACTTTTGTTATTAGTTTTAAGCAATACCTTTCATTTCTTTTCATTAACAATTTATTTCGGTTTTATTTAATCTTTAAGATAAAAAAAAAAAATTAAAAGGCAAACATTAAAGAAGAAAATTTCTCAAAAAGACAATATTATGTACAATTTTTTTAACTCTTACTTTTATACAATACTATCTTTTTCGTCGTGCCAAATTCAAGTTTCCAGGTCGCCAAAAGATCATTGTTAGAAGGAAGTATGGTTTTATCAAGTTTAGCAGGACTGATTATGTCAGATTCTAAAAGTTTTAGTTTTTTTCCTTACTTTAAATGAATTGATTCTAAGTTTTATTATGTAAAAAATATTATTATCCTAAAATTAATAAACTTGATTTTTTGACATTATATTTTTAATGATGGTAAGTTTTAAATTGAAATCAAATAAAAGTCAATTTTTTAAAAGCAAACTTGGTTACGTAACGCAAGATTATATTCTAATTTTTCACCGAAATTTTAATTTACTTCTTATTCAAATTTTATTATAAATGCATTATACGATTTCTGTTCACCAAATATAATTTTTAGGATTGCAATTCTATTTAGAACTAACATAAATTTACTTAAATCAAATGAATACTTTAAATTTAGAAAATTTAATTTTCAATTAAAATAGTATTTTTTTGTTGAAATATTACAACATTTTATCAACCAAAATATTTAATTTACAACATTTCATTTTATACCAATTTAAAGTTAGGAAACAATTTTTAAATATAGATTTAATACATTCGCATATGGCATATGCGAAAAGTTAATTTTCGCATACCCCAAATGCAAAGGATTAAATTAATTATAATTATCCAGTTTTAATCCAACGTCTTTAATGCATTGTAATTAATCCACTACATTTTCGCATTTGCTGAACGCGGAAGTTGGTTTTTTCGCATTTGCCAAATGCGAGAAACATATTTCTTTCCACCTCCGAAAACCTAACCATAGTCCTGCTTACACTACCAATTTGGGAGCATATTTGTGTCATTTTTCGCTTCTGCGCTACTATTGATCAAGTAATTAGAAGATGAAATGAAATAGTATTCGAAGAAAATGACGGAAGCCATTCACAAAAAGGGTTAGGTGGCCTCCATTGTCAACGGTCTAATTCTCTTGCTCACCAAGCTTTAGTAGTTTATTAGACTAGCCACATTCTTTTTCTTTAGTGGCACGTATTCGCATATTTTTAAATAGACCTTCTTATAAATTAGGATCAATCATCTACTTTTATTGAATATACACTATGTATCAATAACAAGTTTTAAGATGATGATGAATGCGAGGCTATTGATTCATTCTCGATATACTAATAACAGTTTAGTCATGAACTAATTGATGGCAAATGGGAACTAAGAACCTCAAAAAGTTTCCAAAAAGTATTTTAATCTTATTATATTTTTAAATTTAAAACAAGTGAAATAATATAATGATTAATGTGCCGAATTCTTCATTCACCAACTGCATAGAGATTGTGATCAAAGTTATTGCTCATTATGTTCTTTTACCGATGTTGTGGTAAATTTCCTTCTTTTTTTTAAGCTCTTTAACCTTAATTTTTGAATTCCAGATTAGATTTTCATGCATTGAAGTGTATGTTAGATGTATTTCTCTTGGTCTAAGATTTACCGTGTTATTTTAGTTTTAATCAAATGGATTATCGTGTTATTTTTTTGTGATAGTTTTCGCTACAAACAAATGAAGTCGCATTTCTCCCTTCCTTTCCGTTTTGGGACTAATAGTGACAAATGGCCTTTTATCACTGCACAATCTTACTGCCGCTGAAAGGAAAATATAGATAGTCCCGTTAAAAAAATATCACTTGTGAAGAAGGGTACAATAAGGTGATAAAATCAGGCGATCGGGCATATATTAGACTTAAATCGACTCAACTAAGATGAACATATATTCCCTCTGTCCCAAAATTATTTTCCAGTTTGAGATTTCACTTTTAGTATAATTTGAACTAAAAATAAAAACTCAAACTGGACAATAATTATGGAACGAAGGGAGTATATGTTATTGCATACTCACCATGCATATGAGTTATGACACTGGGTTTTTTTGTGGGTTTATTGAAATTGAAACAACAGTAACTCAACCATAGATCAATCACAATGCTAATCATTGATAGGACGGCGGTGGAGGAGGACTCCCACGGGGTTGCCGCGGTGGTGGTGGTGGTGGTGGAGGTGGATTGTGATTTGGCGGTCTAGGTGGTGGTGGGCTGAAACCGACATGACCCGGAGTATTCCTCTTTGGAGGTGGTGGCGCTGGCTTAACTCTCTTCTGTTTTGCAGCCTTCTTTCCTTTGGAAGACAGGAAATATTGATGATAACTATCATCAAGCAAAGAATCTGCAGGTGGTGCCTCGAACCTAGTCACACCTGATAAGTAGTACTCTTGATCAGCTGGCAGTAGCCTTGATGCCATGACGATGACATTGCCTTTGCCTTGATCATATCCATGTTGGATCAACAACAAACTAATTAGCAAGAGAATAATAAGGTAAGTTGCTATCTTCATGCTCTGGCCAGAGATAGAAAAACTTAATTTGTTGATTGATAAAGATCAACAAATTATGTAAGAGGCCAGTTCAGTGATCCCCAGTTGAAGAAACTGAGTGCTATATATATAATCATACAACAACGTGTTGAACAAATCAACGCTTTGATTCTTTATTGCTAGCTGGAGCCCTTTTGACACTAGCAATATAAAAACAGGAACATTCCCGATTAGGTAATTTAATTGCAATGCTTGCGAGGAACTAGCTTGGAGAAATTTCCCAGCAAGAACACGGGATAGATTGAGAGAGCCACTGTATCACTCTTCAGTCTTTATATCATCAGACCACCTCTTGCACTTAATTCTAGAAAAAAGACATCAGCCGGTAAGTTTTCCTGAGTTGCGGCTCTTGCCATTCTCTCCCAGCTTTGCTGAAGTGCTGCTTTTGCCATTCTGTTATATCTTCATTGAAGACCACCGGCGTAATCCCAGCTTTGTCGACAAGGAAAACTTGAAAACAATGCAAAAGAACATACTCTCATCAGGAAAGGGGGGAAAAAAAATACTGCAATACTTTTAGTTTGTCCCATTGTATAAGTCGCTCTGTTGGAACTAAACTAGTAAAAACAAATTGAACTATCAAAATTGGACCAAATCTTCAGGTATATATATAATAACATGCAAGAATACAAGTGGACAGGAGATCACAAACTTACCATTGCCATATTCACGACTTTCAGGCGCGTTATATGCACCTATACAAAGTGCACTCTTGGTCACCTCCACAGCTTCAACCATGGATATATCCTCACCAGGCATAAAGAAAAACCTGAAACAAGTTCTTAAGATAAGTACAATACCGCGGAATTTAAAAACCTTAATTTAAAAATAACACCCAACACAGATTATAGCAATTTATTTTATGGGGATTTCAACTGCATTCAAGTAAAGCAAGACAAGTCAACTGTTACAACTCAAATCCATGGAATTCTCCAAATCCTATGCAAAACTACACTCGGATATCTAAGGTACAACGCCTAATCCTAATGTAGTGTGTCTAATGCATAAACAAGGCCAAGTATCACTTCCGACATACTATTAAGCAAGGCTCGCAGCAACCATGTTCACAAGTTACAACTTAAAGTAATCGAAGAGAGAAAAGGGGCATACCTGGAAAGAAATATACCTTGACCAGTTGAACCAGATCCAGTTCCAACGAATGATCGTTTAAGCAATTTCCCATTACCGTCTACCTTGTACAGGGAAGGTCCCTACAAATTAAAAAAGACAAATATAACCATATGATTATAATTCAATAAGAGTCATTAGGGAAAGACCCATAGGAAGAGCGAATTTATTAATTCCAAGATTAATTTACCAATTCGTTGTCACAGCCAGCAATGAGTATTCCTAGCGATAAACCCTCGTCGCTGTCAGGATGAAGAGCCAGAAAGTCAGCCAACTATTTCGATGCTTCCGCAGCAGAAGCTTTCCTCCCACTCCTCGAGTTCATGTTTGTGGCACTAAATAACAGAAAAAAAAAAAAAAAAAAAGTCCTCCACATTACACAACAACAAAACCTTTCTTAGATAGCAGTAAAGCCGTAACTAAAGAGAGTAAACCCTCTACACTAGAGGCACCTGGTACCTTGTCTGGGAGATGATTAAGGAGGAATTCGCGAGAATTTTCGCTCCCTCCGGAAAAAGCAACAAGCAGGTGCGAATTGTGTTTAATTATGTTTTCTGGAAATGCATCAGCTGATGATAGGCTTGAATGATCCACTGCTACCATAATCCATTCTTTGTTGAAAATATGACCCAATGTTGTAGTTCCCTTTTCATGCTTATAGGGTTCCTCAACCTACAAACACCGCCACCAAAAAAAAAAAAGAAAAAACATAAATCAAACCAAGCGGAAAACAACAACCACAAAAAGGAAAAACAATACTCCATCGGCCTTAGAAAAATAGTCGTCGCAATTTGTGATTTGCGTCCTTTTTAGTACAAATCATAAACTACGAGTAAAGATTAAGTTGCGTCCTTTTTAGTACAAATCATAAATTACGAGTAAAGATTAAGCATAATAAACAGTACAAGTTGTCTACATTTTTTTTTTTTTTTCTGCTTAAAAAAAAGTAGAAAAAAATGGAGAGCACTATAATAATGGGTTATTCATAGCTGCGGTAAGGGCAGCAGTAGGTAAAGAGGTATTAGACGAACTGGAAGCAATGGTTCCCACCTTCGAAACTAACAGCAAACGGAAACCTAATTCGACGAATGAAAGAGGGATCGATGTTAAAAAGGACCGTTTTAGAAGATTTTTTTCCCCTTCTTCGCGTACTTTCTAGAAGGTTCGTCTCGACTCTTGGGTGCAAGTCCCGGCATCTCCTATTTATTTTGCTCGTGACGGTTTAAAACCGGAAAAATTATTCTATACAACAAATGTATCCCTTTTTTAGTGCAGCAACATAACCATTATACTGGAAAATATCATGGCCTTCCTAATTTTATGGTAACTTTCTCGGTAAAATTACAATCTTGTTCTATTTATGTGTCTCGCTACACAATTCTACATGATACAGTAGCTGTATGGAAGATTTTCTAAACCGGGGTTTGGGTTGTTGATATCTGGATTACAAAAATGGGTCAACTAATTTTTAGATTAGTTCTAGTTTGGCCCGATGTTGGTTTAGAATATGATCCCTTAATTCAACAAAAATAATAGTAATAAATAAATAATAATCGGAGAGGTTAACTTAAATATAATGCTTGCCGGGAGTTAGAATTCCGAGCAAAGTAAAACTCAGAGTCATTAACGCAAACACATATAAAACTTAAGACAAAGAAATGTGGTAGAATAGAACTGTAGAAGTAGTTGTATCGTTGGCTTTGTAAGTTACAATTTGCATGAAAGTTTGACAATTATATATCCAAAAAAGAGAGAGAGAAACGCAACATTGACTCAATCACTGTCAATCAAATTAATATACTCCCTCCGGTATTAAGTCATTTTAATTTATCTTTAAGTTTCACTTAATACGTATTTTTAATGGACAAAGGAATTTTAAAAATATTTCTTAACAATCAAGAGAATTAAACGAAAGTAAAAATATATTTTTAAGACTTTTGTTAAAAAAAATATTATTATGTGAAACATATAACAAATCAAAACATTAAGAAATGGAGAGAGTAATCTAAAGATAATCCTGACAAAGTCACAGTACCATCATTAACGGAGCCGTGGTGGCGGTGAAATGCATTGTTTTTTCGTTGCTATCTATAAGACGCGCAGTGCTTTATTATCCAATGAAGTTAAAGTAAACGGGTTTTTTTTCTTTTGCAGGTTACTCATAAAAATCCTAATCCATTAAAGAAACTGTACGGGAGACAATATATAAAAATGCGATTATATAATGATTATATATTCATTATAAAGCATCCGCATATACATGATGTCTGTGACACTGATCGATTTGCCGTAATTGGTCTTTAATAGAATCAACACTTACACAACTCATCAAAATCAATCACATTTTGTATATATTTCTCATAGCCACCGGGGCAACCATTAATCAACAGTGCGGCGGTGGAGAAGTCGCTCGTGGCGGCACCGGTGGTGGATGACTAGGAGGCGGTCGTCTAGGTGGCGGTGGGGTGTAAGAGAAATGACCCGGTTTATTAGTCCTGGGAGGCGGTGGAGCTGGCTTGCCTTTCTTCTTTTTAGCAACCTTCTGTAGCACTTTTGAAGACATGAAATAGTATTGTGTATGCTCACCAATATCAATCGAAGGAGCTGCTGGTACGACGACTGAAAGGTCTTGATCTTCAAGCCATCTAGATGCCTTGACGACATTCCCATTGCCATAATGGATCAACAAGAAACCAAGCAGCAAGTAAATGATCAGGCAATTATCTCCATTGCTCATCATGGCCATGCTAGCTAGAGAGATAGCGAAAACTTAATTCTGAGGAGTCTAAATCTGGCGAAAGAATGAATTCTCAGTATAATCAAGTACAGTATCATATATATTTATAACCGTGTGTTGACTTATGAGCACATAAATGCTTGCATTGTTTAATCCTTTCCTTCCTCTCTCTCTCTCTCTCTCTCTCTCTCTCTCTTTCCTTTGACCCTGGCTATATGTATACAGATTGGGGGGGGGGAGGGAGAATTGATGGTGTAAAGCTTGTCAATTAAGGAATCATCTCGGAAGAAATTTCCGGGCAACAACACGGACAGAACGGCGTTGTCTTAACAGGACTAATTTTAAATTAGAGCGCGCTTGAAGTACTTGTATAAGTTGTATCAGTGTCTAATCAGATGAACAAACTAACTTTTTGTTATTTCTTCTATCTTAAAAAACATAGCTAGTCCACATTATTGAGACCGAGATAGTATAACTTATTAACAATATTTAGTAAAAAGTAAATTAATTCGAATGTCCGAAGGATTATATTTTATTGGTTTATGATTTTATTTTATTTTTTTGGTTAAAATGTAATTTGTATTCATCATCACCAATCAAAACAGCAAACATTTACATCATCCTGCACACTATTTACATGGGAATAAATAGATTCCCACCGGCTGCAAAAATTTCCTATCAACTATTTCAAAACATACATTTTCGTCTCATTTCTTAAAAAAAATCATTTTCACAAAATTCGGAAGAGGTGCTACAACTTGGCCCTCCTAAAAATAAACCAAAAACATGACTAGCATTACAAATAAAAAAAATAATAAAAGCTTAATATAACGTATCTGTGACTCCACTTTGCTTAACTCAACCCACCCAATTACATGTATACTATATTCCTGAAAAGCCACCAAACTACCCAGTCATTGACAGGGCGGTGGAGGCGGATTCCCTGGTCGATAATATGGTGGAGGAGTCGCACCTCTTGATGCTGGTGGAGAAGAGGGATGATATGGTGGTGGAGTAGTCGCTCCCCGTGGTGGCGGTGGTGGATGATACGGTGGTGGAGGTGGATGAAACGGTGGCGGAGTATTAGCTCTGGATGGTGGTGAATGCCGATGATGTGGCGGCGGAGTCCGTGGTGGGGGTGGAGGAAGAGGAGAATATTGTTTAGGTGGAGCTGGACTGTTATGGATGGGGGTGTTAATCCTGGGAGACGGTGGAGAACGCTTAACTTTCCTCTTCTGAACAATGTTCATTAGTACTTTGGATGACATCAAATAATGATATTCATTCATATCATCATGGGAAGAAGAAGGAGAAGAAGAAGATGCTGATGGTGGTCGTCCATCCAGAGCTGAAAAGTCTACAACTCTTACAGCCATGACGCCATTGACTTTGCCTTCAAATCCCGGTTGTTGAACTTGAATCAGGAACACCACCAGTTCATAGATTAAAAGCAAGTAAACAAAGTATGTTGCTTTCATGATCATCATGCTCAATTGCTCATGTGCAGAGAGAGATAGACAATAATATATATATGTAGAGCCCAATTCAATCAATACTTCCTTACAACTCACTATAACAACTTGTTGTTGGGCAAATCAACACGTAGATTCTTTAATTCTGCATTTCCTCTCTCTTTCATACCTGTAACGTTTGACCTCAGGAGTACAAAAATACTGAGAAATCCCAACCCACGGAAAACATTTGAAGATAATGCTTGCCAGGAATTATCACGCAGATCAGTGTACACGCGGACAGATTAGACTTTTTACCCCAAAAAAAAAAAAAAACAAAGCCGACAGAATGTGAAGTAGAGATTTGCTAGCAAAAGAGTAGTTGAATCACTTGAACAAGTTGCAATTACTATATATATATATATATATATATATATATATATATATATATATACTACTACTATTTCCTTACAAAAATATCAGAGTACAATAAACGTAGTCTTTTTTTCTGGTGTACATCAAAGGTACATTTATTCAAGTCTCAAGACAAAACCATTCATACCACATCAGCGTATGAACTTACCAAAACATTGGTAATTAAAAAAAAAAAAAACAAAATGAACAAATCAAAATGTTGACTATAAAAAAATGCAAATACAAATTAACAACATCATACATAGATTGGTTACTTCCATAGACAGTTCAAGCATCTGCATAGAAAGCTGACAAGTTCCCTAATATCAAACCAGCTCGAGACCCAACTCGTACAGCTGCATCTGGCGATCACGAAATACCGTCATATGATCAGATTTGCATTGCCTACTATTAACGGATCCGAGCAGGAGAACAAAATGTTCCATTAAGGAACCCATTACCCATCTCTGAGAACTACTTCCAGTTACTGCAGCGTCCGTGAATCTCTACATATACAACCATCTCACCCGCATTCTCGTCCGATTTGTGGATGCATGTAACCAAAAGGTCTATGCATCAATTTCTATTAAAAAAAAAAAAGGGAGTAAATTTTATTTGACTTTTGGAGTAATACCGATATATTAATTATGACCAAAGAACAATGCCATCAAAAAATTTTAAAAATGATTAAAAAACAATAGACTTTGGCCTTCGTCGACTTTCTTGTCTACTTTGGTAATGAGAGGACAACGTCGACGGGTACAATTTTTACAAAGAAAATAATGAGTATTTTGTAACTCTTACATTTGTTACTTTTAAAATGTTAATTCTGATAATAAGGGGGAAAAATCTACAGTGCTGTATATTTTAGCTTAAAAATGATAGTGCTTGAGGGTAACTTTAAGCAAAGGTTGCAGATTTCAGCCTGCCTAAATCACCACCGGCGGACCACCTAAAACAACTTGCGTAAATCAGAGATTTAAACATACAAAAGCTATTAAAAAAAAAGCAAAAATAAAATAATAAATTGACGTCAATGATAACGTATTATTATTACTTGAATTATTAAGTCACAACATAAAAACTATCATTTCTTGCTTGTTGTGTACATTATTTTCGAAAATAGCAGATGGTGATCCGAGATGGATTATTTTGTCAGGTGTGTTTTTTTTTGTGTTTCTAATATTCTTCTTCAGTTTGTGTCCCTTATTATAAATGTACTAATTTCCGAATCATCTTTTTAACCTGTTCACGTAGGTCGTGAAGTACTTAATGATTATTTATCAATGTAATAGTAGCAGTACTCTATGATTAATATATTGAACAAAAAAATATATATTATTGAACAAACAAAATTAAACATAATAATTTATAGATTTTTTTTAACGAAGTTGCGTTTAGTTTTCTTCTCCCAATCGAGCGTGATAAAGCTGAGTTTGACATTGGACCTCCTTTTCAGTTAATGTTAACTGTAAAAAGGGCCAAAACAAGATATTAGCGGTCAAGATGAACCAGTCGCCTCCTTTTCGCGGTCTAGATCTTGCCATGTGGTTGCTTGAGGGGTCACTAAATGTTGTTGACCAGCAACCTTTTCGTCCACGTGGATAGGGAGTTGCATGCATGCAAGAAAATCCCAACATACAATTGTATCTTCTTCACTCTTTTTTTTTGTTTTTTTTTTTGTTTAAAATTAATTTTAAAATAATCTATTTCAATCCCAACAAAATTAATCAGTTTATCAAATGAAAACAAATGAACCAAAATAAATGAATGAATCTCTCTTAGAGGAACGAGAAAGAAGATTTGGAAAATGTTACTGAAAGATTATAAGTTTATTACCATCAGAACAAGCAGGATCGATGTACATTTAACAATTGAATTCATAGGAATTCCCAAATAACCTGCTTCAATTACGACCCTCGAAATTAATGCGGGTATGTTTCCGGCGAAACGGTGGACGGTGCTGGCGGCGGTGCGGTCGGCGTCTTATGAGAGGGCAGCGGCTTGAAAGCGGTGCGAGTTGGGAGATTGGATTTCGGAGCTGGAGGACTTGGAAGGCTTCTCATTTTCCTAATGACTACCGGTTTCCATCGGTCATCTCCGCCGTTGAATCCATGTTCACGATCCAATGAGCGTTGGGTGATGGTCTTCCATTCCGGTGACGATATCGGTAGCTGGCCTTCAGCCGCCGCAACACAAAATAAGTCGGCGGCCAAGAGCAGGTGGTGAACCAACAGAAAATGGAGCAAGTAGTGCGAAATGGGTGTCATTTTGGGAGGGGATTTTCTTCTTCTTCTTCTTCTCTTTTGGGGAATGACTGAATAAAAAGTAAAAACTACTGGGTGGTGATTTATCCCTTCAATTTTGACTCACATTTATAGTGTTTTGCTGGGAGTAATTGAGATAGAGTAGTTACTAGTTAGTTGCTGCATTTATTCACAAAACACAAACCGGAGGCTGACTTTTTATAAGAATAGTTACAGTACACATTTACTGCAAATTAAGAGTAAAAGGGTAGTTGATAATTCCTCTTACATCAATCCAACTGTATTGATCAATAATAACTATACAAAAATTATACTCTTTATGTCCCAAAATTATTGTCCACTCCGAATTTTATTTTTAGTACAATTTTAAAAATGAAAATCTAAATTAGATAATAATTATGGGACGGATGGATGGAGTATTAAAACAAACTCAATCTGCGGCAATATGATAAGTTCTTATTAAAAAAATGGGTACTTCGAAACTACATTGCTAAAATTGGGCTATTTTTCAAGGTTACAAGTCACGCCATATGCAAGAAAATGAGTAGCAGGAATTGTTTAAGTATGGTCAGAAATTGGATTGGATTCGGTTGATGATTTCAAGTACCAGCGTTTGAGGCGTTGCTCAGCTTTTGTAACTTGCTCATCCCAATCAGTTCTCCATGTCATGTAAGACAGAGAAACAGTTTGCGCAATCACTCCGCATATCATCCCAATCCAAATGCCCTTCACTTGCAAGCCAGCCCCATACCCAAGCAAAGCTCCGATGGGGATTCCGATTATATAATAGCAAAACAGAGTGATAAAAGCAACCGTTCCCTGAAGACCGGCTCCCACCGCCACGCCGGAGAGAATCGGATAGATGCTGTTGAACAAGATTGAGAAGGATAGTAAAACAGAAAGATCCGATACAGCTTCTGCTACTTCTTTCTCCTCTGAGAATAAGTATCCGATATTCTTACCAAAGATTAAGCAAGTAGACCAAAAGAATAGTCCTATCAGAAAAGAAATAGTCAAAATGACTTTGATAGAAAATTTCACAGCTTTAGCATCTCCTCTGCCCAATTCATTGGCAACCCGAACAATAGCAGCACCGAAGAATCCAAGTGTAATCATGAGAACCCATAAACTGATATTAGCGCAGATGGAAAAGGCAGATATAGAAATCTCAGCATTTTTCATATGTCCAGCTATTAGTACAAGCACAGCGTTATACCACAACTCTAAACAGAGCATCACCCCTGAAGACACAGAGAGTTTAACCATTGGCCATAGATCTTTGAATGCAGCTGTTGTAAAACCTGTCCAGGATTCAGGACAGAACCCTCCAAAGATGTAAACAAATTCTCCAAATACAACCAGCCATGAAGAAATCCCAAGTGCACCAATCGCTCCAGCAGTTCCCAAATTTAGTAGATTGACCAAAAACCAAGACAGAGGAACATGGATTGTGAATTGCAGAATGGACAGCCAAGCGATGATTTGATTCTTTTGTTGGGCTTGTAGAAACATTTGGTTTGTCATAAGGAAGACAAAACTGCAAATGAAAGGGATGAACCAGAAAGAAGCATATCCAGCGGATTGGGCAATATTTTCATCTTCTCCGAGAAGCCTGAAAATGAATCCGCCAAAAAGGAAAACAGGCAGCAAGATTGTTAGGATACTAAAATTAACAATCCATGATTTTTGCAAGTAAATACCCATCATATGAAGCTGCCCAGCTCCAAAAGCTTGCCCACAAAGCGTTTCGGTTGCGCTGGACATCCCAATCAGGATTCCATTCACAAACCTGACGCTGAGTGTTTGAACAAGAGCATAAGCAGCAAGATCCAGACTACCAAGATGGCCTATAAATGATTGAGTGATTACCAGACTCCCAAACGAGGAAAAACGAGCCAGGACACCAGGCAATGCAACCTTCCATACCTTACTGGATTCATCTAAAATCCGTACTTTCAAATCTTTTCCTGAACTCTGTAGTAAACTCTCCTGAATCTCCTCCCCCATAGTTGATCACTTCGGTTGCCGGTAACGAAATGAGTGTTTTTTAGAAGATGCTAAAGGCGAAGAAGAAATCAAAGAGGAAGGCACTAAGGATTAGGGAAAGAGACCCAGTTCATTACTACTTCTTCAAAGAAGTATTCCAATACTTGCTTGTGTTGACTTTCTTGAGCCCGTGATGCAGCTGATCAGTAATATATTCTATTTTTTATCTTGAACTTCATTTTTTTTTTTTCCTTTGTTCAATAGTTGGAGATATAGATCTGCGACTTACAGAGTCAAAGTGAATACTAAATCACAGAGCAAAAGAATGCTCCTCAATTTCCTATGGTTTGCTATACTTACAAGTTTGAGAATTTGAAATTTGTACCATCTCAAAATTATTATTTTGTTAAAATTAAGTGATACAAATAAACAAGAAAATAATTTTAAGACAAAGTTAGTACTAGTATAACTCTATATTACTTGGAATGACTATGAAGTATCAACTTTGGGACTAATGGATCTATGATTTGTAGCTACAAAAAAAAAAAATTGATGAATCCTACAAATGATTAAATTATCAGAACAGCTAACTCACTGTTCTATTTTATTTTTATCATTAGGTGGAACTTATGTATCTAAATACGTAGTTTCGTGTAGAGAATGGCTTTGTGAAGGGCACGTACTAAATCCATACACATGGTTAAGAATTTTTAAATTATGTCCTTTTCTATGAATATCAAGATCATCAACTAACATGGAGCTAAACTCCCACGTCCAAATAACCAAGTATCTTGAGCCCACGGGCTAAGAACGTTCATAACCTTGGTACGAGATCGATTCCCAAAAAAAAATAAAAAATTAATTAATACTAATAAGTGTTAATTCACAATGATCCCTCTGGTATTGAGCTTCTTCAATAATCATGTGGATAACAACATTGACAATCAACCTCTGCCATGACATTTCTTTCCCCGGCCATGTGAAGTGGTTTTTTTTTTTAACCAAAATTGCAAAGTTGGGGGATGATAATATAGACAGCAAAACCGCTGAAGCAATAGCTTCCACTCATGGCTAGCGACAGTATCCATTCCGATGATGGAAGTTGATATGATATGTTGTTTTCATACTTTCGTATTTTCATGTTACCATATTGTGATTTTACTTAACTATCACCCAATTGAAGTTGATAGCGTATTTGTGTTAGTACTATTCAATTGGATGTTTACACGAAGGAGACGGGACAACTTTGTTGTTTTTTGTTTTTGTTTGTGAGGAGAAAAAAGTAAAGATACTAAGAGGGAGCTTGGACTCTGCAGAGGAATGAACACAATTTCTCCTTTATCCAGGTATTTTTTTTGTCTGTATACTAAACAGGGGAACTGCTGATGCAATTGTTGCACTTGGGATGTCTTCATGGCTTGTGGTATTTGGGGAATCCGCTTACATCTTCGGAGGTTAATTGGTGCCCGAACTCATGGTCTCATGGAAAGGCTTTACAAGAACTGCATTCAAAGATCTCTGGTCTGTGGTAAAACTTTAACAGTGTCTTCAGGGGTGATGCTCTGTTTAGAGTATCGGTATAATTCTGTACTTCTAGCTGGACAATATGAAAAAAAATGCTGAGATTGCAATCTCTGCCTTTTTCCATCTGTTGTACTGTACCATTTTCCAGCTTGGTCAATAGCATTTATGAAGCGCTTTCAGTGTCTTGGGGGTTTTGCTTGGATATGTGGTTCAGTTGCAAGTTAAAGGCATCTGGATTGGAATGATCTGCGGAGTTGTCACTCAAAAAGGTCAAAACTATCGCGTTAGCCTTCAAGAGGAGAGTTTGAAGATCAGATGTTTGACATTTAATAGACCGGTTTCATGAACGAAATTTATTAAAGTTTATGTTTTGAACGTATTCGACAGAATCTAGACCGATTACACTATGTTAACGCTCAAACATCATCTGTTTAACTTATAAGGTATGCTAGCCAGCCTCCATTATTAAGTCAAACATCACCTGTGTCTGTCGCCGTCGATCAGCTTGGCCTTACGGGCCATTTATGCTAATTAGTAATGTCTTTCGCTGTACTATACTTAGTTGTAAGTGTTAAGCAAAGATTTTATAAAAAACTAGTTCGTGATACCGAAAAATACATGTATGATTTACACATATTGATTCGATAGTATATAGCCTGATACGGGAATCCGTCACTCTGTAATACTGATTAATATTACGCACACGAGCAACCTTTGTTTATCATCATGCTGCTGTCATGATTTGAAAGTAATGAAAATGGGACTACCATTTCCATAAACAGCCACTAATTCGTGTTTTGCAATTAATGTAGACAACTACTCTATCATCTTCTGTACACTCTTATGTCAGCTGTGTATATATAGCAAGAGGACCCAAGAAAAAAAAAAAGAAGAAAACGGAAAAAACAAAGGAGTGAGTTTTCATCAAATGAAAGCCACTTCTCACTACCTGTTGCTCCTTCATTTCCTGTTGGTTCACCACCTGGCATTGGCCGCCGGCAGAATTCACGTCGCGGCGGTGGCAGAACAACCACCGCCTCCAGCGGCGTCGTGGAGGAGAACTGCTTTTCATGAACATTCCGGCGGTGAATCCGGAGCGTTAGCGGTAAGGAAAATGAGAAGCCTTCCCAGTCCCCCAGCTCCTAAATCCAATCTCCCAACTCGCACCCGCATCAAGCCGCTGCCCCCTTTCCAGCCGCTGCCGCCGCCGCCGCCGCCGCCGCTCGCACCATCACCTTCACCTTCACCGCCTCATCACCGTCGACATTCTCGTCAGAACCACCCGGCTTTTTCGTGATCATTACGAAGAAGTGAGGCATGTTAGAGGAGATGGAATAATTGTAGAATAAATGCGCGTCATCCTTGTTCAGCTGGTGATATTAATGATATTTTCATTAATAGACAATCCCATCAATTGGAACAACCATTTTTGCTACATTCTTTTCGTTTTCTTCTCTTTTCTTTTGTTTGGGTCCAGACTTGAAAATATTCATACAAATACTAATGGTTTTCTTCGCTTATATTACTCACACCTACCAATTTCCAAAAGAAAATAACTCTCTTAAAGGCCAAATATAAACCTACACATAGTTCCACCTCAAAACCAATTGGTGACGAAGAGAATAACATATGAATTATATATATTAGGTTCAAGTATTTCCTTCTATTTATATGAGATCAGAGAGAACATGAGGTCATTTTCTTTCTTTTGTTCATTTAACAAACTCACACCTACAGATTGTTCATGCTGTGATTTCCTCATCAGTGATCACCTCCGTCATTCCGTCTTCCATTTTTCAGCCTCTTTAAATAAGGAAGTAAAGAAAAGATGAATCTGTGTCATAATTTGATATTCAAGGCAAGGGATTGAATTTTAAGCGATTTTTCCTCCTATAGTTTATCCATTTCGTAACAAATATATTGCACAATAAGTAGAAGGTGGCGGCATGTGATCAGCAGAAGTGCTGATCACAGTTAGATTATCGCACATGCCTATCGGTTACAGGTGGAGGACAAGGTAGCTGGTCAACGGGAGAATGACCCAGTAGGCAACTGCTGCTATTTATTTTGGTCAATTCGCAGTCAAACTTTTGGCGGTAAAGTCAAAACCCACACCCAATTCAAAAGGAGAAAAGTTTAAAACAGGTTAAGCTGTGGATCTATCATCAGACTGAAGGACTCTGCGCAATAATTAGGAACCAATGCTTAAGGAGAAAGGAGGCCAAATGGGCTGTTGTATTCAAGCTTTAGCATGAGCCACAATGCCATGTCTTTGGGTTACACTAACAATCTGTTAAAAATAACATTCACAAATACAGCCCAAGAGTAACACAAGGGAAGAAGCCACCAGCATCCCCTGCAACACATCTGCCAATTTACCATTTTCATTTACCTTAAAACGGCCTGGTGGTCGTTGTACTACTGCTAAATATATTAGCGGCACTTGGAAAGCTTCCAGGCTTAGCCGTGGTGGTACTCCCAAAACCAAACTTCGGTTTCTTTTCTGCGGGTTTTAATATTTGGAAGGAGCACATCAGAGTCTCATCTACACTCATCATTGCGCCCGCATTATCAAACTCCCCACAGTAATTAGGTGCTGAAAATATGGTAACGAGCTGCCGATTGGCAAAAAACTCATACCCATCTTCCACAACCTGCACAGGATTTTCACATGTACAACATAGAGCTTGATTAGGACTTATTTTCCACCTCTCATGCAGAGTCATACACAAGAGTCCTATCGATGTAATAATAGGCCTGAAGCTATTGAACACATTGAAAAATATGCAGATTATTCAAAGGTCTGTAAAGTACAGCATGCGCACAGTCCAAAATGGCCAAAAAAAGATTAAAGCTCTTATAAGTACTGAGAGTCAATTTGAAAAGCAACATAACATCACTTTTTCAGTCAGAGGGAGCCAATAAAATATTCTTGTTCCGTTACATGCTAAGTGAACAGAACAACTTTTGGCCTCACCTGCAAGGAACTAATCCCTAGTGTTCATAAATTTTTGAAGCATCACATCTTAAAAGGGAAAATTGAAAATTATGCAATTTCCATTATTGCAATCACGGTTTAGATGACTATTCAGTTATAGCACACCTAAGAGTATGTTACATAGGCAAGGAGCCTAATAACAAAGTTGAAGAGAACTGAAACTACTTGCCAAGCCTTCACCTTTCACCTACCCCATCTCTCCAATAAACTAAGATTAAGCCACGTATGAAAATCAAGGATACCATCCCCACTACAATCAAGGATACAAAATTCTTAAACTGCTAGTCACATTGTTCAAAACATATTGAATGAGAAAGAAAGGCAAACATGGATTTGAAGAAAAGAAAAAACAAGTCAAACCTGGTGAGCACGGCAGATAAGGTCTAAATCCAGCTTCTCAAGAAACTCTGTCACCTTATCAGCACCAAAAGTAAAAGAAACTCCCCGGTCATTCATTCCCCATCCTTGAATGTCTTTGCTTGGGTCTGACCAAAGAAGATCACACAGCAAACCAGCATCAGGTACATCAGTAGGGCGACGCAAGTTCCTTATCTGATCAAGATTATGAAGATCTGGAGAGAGGCCGCCATGCATACAGAGAATTTTTTCATCTATTAGGGCTGCAACTGGAAGACAGTTGAAAGTTTCCGAAAAAATCTTCCACAACCTCACATTAAATCTTCTCTTGCATTCGTCATAAAACCCATATATACGATTTATGGATGCACATTCATGGTTGCCCCTTAACAAGAAAAAGTTCTCTGGATATTTGATCTTGTATGCTAGCAAAAGGCATATCGTCTCCAGACTTTGCTTGCCACGATCGACATAATCCCCCAAAAACAAGTAATTTGCTTCAGGAGGCAAGCCCCCATATTCAAAAAGCCTCAAAAGATCAGAATACTGACCGTGAATGTCACCTAATTATCAGCAAGGAGAATAACGCACAGTTAAATGAGAATTCCAACCAGCCAAAACAGGTTACTGATGCACAATGGCAATGATAAAACAAAAAACAAACAAAATAGAACCAAACATGTTGAAGACCACAATAGAATAAGACATTAATAGGCACGAAAACTTTTAACAACTAACCATTAACAGGGTTCCATCAGATTTTCTACCTCCAATTTTAAAGTCCAGGAACTTCACTTTGCTAATTAGTTCAACCCTGCCACCTAAAGTTACAACTGTGGAGGACATAACTGCAGAATGCTCAAAACTCTCATGCAAGTACCACAACTAGGTTCTTGGAAATCATATGGGATTGGGACCAGGTACGGACAGTAATGATTAAAAAGATGATGAATGGGAAAGATCCACAATATTTGATTTTGAGCATATTCGACACTAAACCTACAGATTCAACTATCAAACATCACGAAGATATCGTATCTTATCAGTTTCAATAAGAAGAATGAAAAGCACTTGTCTTCAGGAAAGTCTCATTAAGTATTTAAGTTATGATATTACTGTCCGTAAGAAGGCACGACAAAGGTGCGGGCAAGGGATGATGATATTATCTGATACTAAGAAGGCACGACAAATTGCATAAGAACCACAAGATGGCAATCAAAGGGTTTAATTGGGCTTTAAACGGCTTAGCAAATAATCTCAAACTCCAGATGGAAGGGGCTATCAGAAGGCTGGAAGTTCGAGAAACATTAACACACTCAGAAACCTCATATCCGGCAGTTTGACACCATAGTCAAATATAGCAATACAACATTTGACACCACACATTCAAGCTTAAAAACATAGTCCAGAGACGGACTTCCAGAGACATCGGTGCACTCAGAAAACTAGCATCACGAGTTGGATAAAATAATGAAACATAATTGGACTGCGAGATCCAGTGGCACCACAGAATCCTTTGAGATAAAAATAAAAACTTGGAGACCAAAACTTCTAAGAAGAAAAAACACCGACTGCTTTCAAATGAATCTACTTATACTCATAAAACATGTCACTCCACTTCAGAGCAACGTAGGACTATGTACATTGGTCAAGCAGGATAGAAAATGCAGGTGGCAAGGAACATGCCAACAAACCCTCTCTTTCCCTTTGAATAAACTACTTTGGCATAGCCAAATTTGCATCACATATTATCAGAGTGGAATCCCAACACAAGCTCGTACGACTAAAGAAGAAAACTCTGATCACACCCATCTTGTAATATGTAACACAAAAATTGGAAGACAAAAACCATAACCCACAAACCCAAAGGCCCAAACCCAAACCCTAAATTCACAAACCAAGCAACAAAACAAATTGGCAGCTCTGAAACAAAAAGTCAACCCAAAAACGAAAACAATTTCCGGCAAGGAAGGAGGAATAAATGAATAAAAGGGGAGGAGGATGAAAGACTCCCATAAAGGGTGAAACAGAAAAGCGTGGAAAAGAACAAAACATTCATACCACAAATCTTGATGGGCGCTTCGAGCTCCAATAGATTAGGCTGTTGCAAGAAAATATCTTTGGAAACCAAACACAACTGTTTGATCTCGGCCTCAGAGAGCTGAACCTGCTTGCCGGGCTTCCCTCTGACTTCCAGCAGCCGCCTTATGATATCATCCAACAACTTTTCATCCATTTTCACAAATTTTCTTCAACCCTTTTTTTTTTCTCTCTCTTTTCCCTAATCTTCCGATACGAACAGAGTAATGAAAATATCAAGGAAGAATCGGGATTCTAAGGAGTGGGTTTGGAGATGGGGTTTTGAGGTCCGTTCCTTGAGGAATATGGAATCTGTATGGGGGAAATTGACGACATTAAACTGATGATGTATGGTGTAGGGTGGGGCGATGGAGTTGTGGACTTTGGGAGATCGATGGTGAAGGATTGCCGTTTCAAGGTTCTGGAACTTGTCGTTTTGGATGCATTATGAGGAAGCATTCCTTCCTCCAAGTCCAAGCACACCAATCTAGTCTTGTCTAGACTTTTAATTAGGGCCACCTCATTTTCCTCTTTTTTTTTTTAAGTTTTTCATTTTCTTTCGGCTAAATAATACTACTTCAGTTGGAAAAATAATTTTCTTTGAATTTTAAAATTTATATTAAAATAATATAAATTTCTAAATTCAATTTTTTTTGGGACAGCAGTACTATGTAAGACAGTTCCCAAAATAAATCAATATAGAATTGAAATATAGTTTAGTAAAATTGAAATAAATAACCTTCTTCTGTTTTCGTGAAGGAAAATAATAATCCATGGAGACTAAGGTTACCAATGGAAATGTATTTAACTAAGCAAAAATTTTTTCTTTTCTTTTTTTTTGAAAGTCCAATTACCTATTTAAATTCCAACCATAATAATATTTAGATTGTGATGGATGTCCGAAGTTGGAGAGCAAAATATTATTCATTAAATATTATTTCATCAAGTGATAACCTATGTTACTGCTGCTCAAACAAAAACACTTCAAACTGGCGTCTCAATCACAGTTAAGCCTGTTCATATCTAACATTTACACCATTTCTTTGACAATATCAAAACATTATCAATTATGTTTGAGAATGGTGTTTTTCAGTTTAAAAATATCTCAATATTGTCGGGAAAAAAAAAGAAAAAAAAAAAGAGCAATGAGATTGAAACATACCGGGTAAAAAAGATGATTAAAAAAATTATTCTATAAAATAATTCACGTTATTGTTCTCTTTCTAAACTCCCAACAAATTGGAGTAGTTTATTGCTGTTATTAATTGGATGGGGGGAGCAATTTTCACAAAGGTGCGTATACGCCCTTGATTATCCATTGAAAATAATACGGGCCTTTAAGTCCAAGGACGACGAGAAACAAACTACACGTGCGGATCATCGATTTGTTCATGTTGGGGCTGAGCCGATGAAAACTTTTGACTTGGATCATTTTGGAAATTAATTCGGCCACCACTCTTCTAGGGTTCACTTCGAGACTTCGAACCTCGTCATAGACATGAAGTAACCTTAAATTCTTTATCTAATTTTTCCATTCATCAAAGAGCAAATAATAACAAGTACTTACGTACACTTTACAATGTGTACCTAGGAGGTAGGTGTATTATAAAATAGGCAAAAAAGAGTTGAGTTGGTGCCCCAAATCACACACGCATCAAAATTGCGTTAAAATCACCAAATTTTATTCCCCTTTTTTTAACACACATTTCAAACCTCCAGATCTTATCCTATTAGTTTTTTTATTTATTTTATTTTATGAGAAATTTCTTTTATAACGATGAATTTTATTTTAGTAAAATTGAATATGGTTCATCATCGAGACTTATGAATCTGGAGAATCAATTGTAGCAAAAAATTTTAACTAATTAACAATAGAATCTAGAGAACTAAGGGTCAAATCTGAAAGATTTTAATGAATAACAATATTTTTTGGATACTTATCGATGAATAATGATAATATTATTGATGAATAATAGTGTTTTAATAGTGATAAAGTTATGGATAAATAAATTTAAATTTTGAAATGGATAACGATATTTATAAAGATGAATAACGAAACAAATTTGGATGAATAATGATCCCATCCTACATGAATAGCAACACTAGAATGAAGAATAAATATAGCTTTGTTACATGTATAATTGTAATTTAACGAATGAATAAACTGTCGTTAGTGGATAAATAATTCGCAACAGAATGAATAACTTTGATTAAAAAAATCAACGAGAATATATTTTACAATGAACCAATGTCAGCAAGTAAACTAACAAACTTCTAATTATGTATTATACTAGACAAAAAATGAACAAAAAAATTAGTCATTGCTTTTAACATATAAGGTCTTAAATGATTCGTCGATGCTCGATACTTTAATGTTGATTGTTTGATTTCAGTAACTCTACCAAAATATTTGATTCCCAAACCGATCGAGTTCATCTTGATAAGCATTTCAGCTTGTGATGGGATTTTTTCAGTTCCAGTGGTCCTCCTTACTTCAACCTTACTGATGTATTATGTTAATAAAGGACAACATTAATAAACAAATGAATAACACATTCGTATAAAATGAATAACTAAATTCACTTGACGAATAACCATATATATGTGATGAACACCAACTGATGAACAATAATGCCAATACTAATGAACAAGCATATGAATATTTAGCCCTTACTTATGCAATATTGTTGCAGTAACGATGAATAACAAAAGCTAAAAAATGAATAAACACATTACAATAATGAATATATAGGAATTTTTTTTTTTTTATCAAAATCACATTTTCGCTCCTAATTACACATTACAACGATGAGTAATCAAGACAACACCGATGAATAAGAGACATATATGGCCTAACTATTTCAATAACAAAGAATAATTGATGAACAGTTAGACTGTAGTTGATGAACAACAAATAAAATAATGAATAACAATCGTGTAACACAATTGTTATGATGAATAACCCTTTAATATCGATGAATAATAGTTGGGTAACTGATGACTAGTGAAACGATGAAAAACCCTCAAAACTCAACAACTAATGGATGAATAAATCTAACAAGTTGGTGCACAACCATCTATAAACGAATTTAAGAACCTTAGATCTACGTATTTCAAGAATGAATATTGAATACGAACTCACGAATAATGCCTAGATCTATTAGTATCTATCTTCCACAAACACAGCAAATACGATGAAGAAAACTTAAAAATTGATGAACAAAGATCTATAATCGAATGCATATACCCTAGATCAACAAAACCCATCCAAAAAACGTATCAATTGCTGAATAGATTAATAGTATTACCTTACTTCATCTTCATTTTAAGAACTACTTCTATTTGAACCAGGATCCTCAATCGTTGCTATCTACATGGATGTTTCGGTATTAAAAAAACCATTCTTATAACTGGATCCATGGAGTAAACACATAAAACTGATTCTCTACATGAAAGATTTTGAGAATTTCAAACAAGACTCACCGGACAAAATACAAAACAAATGAATAATTTCAAATCTTATCATAATTCTCATATTAAGCAGCGTATATTGCAACCAAACTCACAGAATTTGATGCACAATCGGATTGTGTCTTCAAAAATACCGCCGACGAGAGGTTTTGATGTCAAATTACCGCAAAGAATATTTGATTTTTTGGATTTTTTTTTTTTGTTTGAGACGTTTTTGGATTGGAATAAGAAGTTGAATATGATTATTGATGACTGAAAATTAGGAGGAATATCCGGAAATTAAAGATTTGAAAATCTTCCTTTTTTTTCTCCCCTTTTTGAACACGTGAATTTCAAAAGATGTATCTAAGAGCTCTATATTATAATTACTTTTCAAAGTGCCTACCATGAGCGAAGGGGATTAATTACTGTTAACAACGGTGGACACTTTGCAATATGAAAAAAAAAAAATTTAGGTGGAAATTTGTACTACAGTGTATCATGGAAATGAACGTCAATGAGATTAGGATAAGCCGTAAGCGAATTAGTACAATCCAAATGCATTTCTTAGGCCTTAATTTGGGATCAGGGACTCGTAGTAGAACCGAAATAAAGTTTGGGACCTCACTAAAAATACTCTTTTTCCTCAAAAAAAATATTATCATATTTAAATTTTCAATCTCAATATAATTTGTTACAATTAAAATATATATATATATATAATAAAGAATTATTTCGGGGATATAAATTTTGAAACTACTTTTGGAGACATGAAGAAGAAGGAGCAATTCACTAGTCAAATGTCTGAAAAACCATGTGACCAGAACAAATGTAATAAAGATGTCGTATCATCAAAATATTTTGATTTAAACAATTAGGCGAGCACCAAAAAGAACAGCTCCTTTGATATCAGATTACATCCAGGCCAGTTTTTAATTACCTTGGAAGCTGGAGCTCTGAAGTGACTACTCAGAGACACACGGAGTAATCATGCCCTTTTGTTGTAGACTTGCAGAAAGGCTTGTATAATTATAACCTAGCTGTTCCCTAATTTAAGTAGGAGCTGAATTGAATTATATTCTTTTAAACTAGTCTGACTTGACTCAAGATGCTGAGAAAGTGGGAAAAAGAAAACGTTCTGAACAATAAAAATAAAAAAAGTTAGAAACCTTCCAGAAGTGATGGCAGCTTCTTCACCATCAAAAGAACTTGCAGAGGAAACGGAACCTGCACCGGCGCCAAAAGCGACGTTGAAGCTCATGATAGATAGAATTAATTGCCGGGTTCTTTTCGCGGAACTGAACGAAAACGCCGTGGAAATTCTGATCCGCACCTTCACTTACTCAATGCCGATCATTTCCGCAATCAAGCTTGCCTACGAAGAAGACAGAGACGAAACGGTGGTGAATTGCCCGGATAATCTCTACCACAGCATCATCAACCTAATTCAAAAGCACCTTCCTCCAAGCCAACTCAAAGAAAGACTCTTGATTCCACCGACTTCCCCGCTTGATTCAACCATCTTTCAGGCTCCCCTGCTTCCCGGCCATAATCAGGACACAGAGAATTTGTATTATGGCAAAACATTGTTCGTGTGTGACGGTGAAGAGTGCGTATCTTTCAGTGATATTCCGGCTACCGTTTGCCCTGATTGTAATAAATACATGTTTCGGAAAGGCCGGTATATTCCTCCGAAAGCATTGAATAAGAAGCGGAAAACGAGTGGTGGAGATAGAGCTGATGAAGGGTCTGTTGCAGAATGTGAAGTGGTGAAGGGACCTGTGAGTTATTTAATGATGGATGATTTGGTGATGAAGCCTACGTCTGCTTCTGTTCTGCTCAAATTGCTCAGTGGTGATGAATTTAGATTTGCATCATCTCTACAGGAAAAACTTGTTGATTTTGGCGTTACCGAGGTATATTCTTGAGTTGGTTACTGGCATTAGTCTTCTGCTGCCTTTAATCTTCAAGTGTTTTTTTTTCATTTTGTTGAAAATGGATGACAGGCTTTGGAATTGGCAAAGATGTCTCTGAACTCCAAGACTGTTCTTACCGATGTATTTTTGAAGAACAGTTAAGGATAAGTGGAGTTTGTGTTAGCCCTCGTGAATTGTTCTTGTTAGCTCCGGTGCTTTTGTTGGAACAAGAGTCAAGAATAGGCAATCAGTAGCAATTGAATAGTATTAGTAGTTATAACTTATAAGACATAATATGTAGGCATTTTGTGATTGTATCTCGTGTGTAATCTGGATCATCTGTTAGCCAAGCTGGAGGCATCAGCCCTGTTTTTGTGTTTGGAAGAATCTGTAAATGTGTTGAATAGTGAAGTCCTTGGAATACTAGATCAAACCTTAAGTTTTGTATGGATGCTCCAATCCGTTGGAAAAGCTTGGGGATGGTGTTCAGAAGGTTGATGCAATTAGGGATTGGCACCCTTTTTGGAAAACTTACAATAGTGCTAAAACCTAGCAACAAAGTCTAAGGTAAAGCAAATTGAGCTTCGATCGATTGTTTATAAACAGCAATAGCTGTCAATGCATATTGTGAAACTATGACAACCGAAAATGTAACTTTCCAGGTTTTGATCAGAGGTTAGAGACTTAGAGGTTTCTTTTCGCGACTAACAAATGATTTGCTGTGAAAGTGAAAGTCATCATGGATGAGAAGATCATTGGGCTGTAAAATGAGCTGTAGAATCACAAATATTCTTCATTTGAAGTCATACATCATTATGTCGAGTCACATTAGTGACCATCTCTTTAACGTGTTCTAACTTCACATTTAAAAGTTGCAATTCCTCAATTAATTTTTTTTTAATATATAATAAGGAAGCACAAAGCTTGGTTACAAAACATCCCTGAAGAAGTGGGATGAGACTCCTATCTAATTCTAAAGCTTCGCTAATAGTGGTCGGAGGGGTTGGCAAAACCTGTCTTCCGTAGAGACACGAAAACCCGAATTTTGCCAAGCCATCCGCAACTTCATTTTGATCTCGGCTGATATGGCCGATGGATACTACCCACTGTCGGTGTAGAAGCTCTCTAATTCTACTATATACATTACTGTTAACCTCCAATGACTCTTCCTAGTCATAATATGGACAGCCTCTAAGGAGTCCATTTCCAAAATAGCTGGCCTATAGCCAACTTCCCAAGCAATTTGAAGGCCGAAGAGAGCCCCCCAAAGTTGAGGTATTCCTCAATTAATTGTTGTGCCTGTACTACTGAAACCATACAGAGTCCATTCGGTTACGGTAAGGCCCAGTATCATTGTATAAAAAGTTCAGGGAACACTAAAATAAGCCCACTTAGTTTCTGAAACTCAAAATTGGTCACATCGACTGCATCAAGATAGGTTTTGGACATATTCTTCATTGATGAAGGAAGAGAGTGAAGAACTACTAGGCTGGGCTTTGCCTTTCATGTTAGCTAACCAAGGACAATTAGTTGAAGCACATCAGAAATCATCCATCTATTGATGATGTTGCGGTTGTAAATAACAGTGTCTTTTTTAGAATTAGAGGGTTACTCAACCTTAATTAGCCGGTAATGATAGATCATGTTTTCCTGCCAACAGAACATGATAGTGAATGCATTTGCGAAATTTGGGTTCTCTTATTCAATAACAAGACATATTTTGTCAACGCCTCCTTCAATCTAGAAGTAAATAGACTATCGCCATCCTTGACTAAAAGTATATTTTGTAAGTATGTAATAACTTGGTCGATTACATTACAAAGATGGAATCCTAAGTATTGAATCTATTGGGTTGGTTTTTCTCTATGTTTTCTCATAGTTTTTAATTAATAAATGTACTATTCTAATTTTTATTCTAATTTTTTTACATAAAAAATCTAAAAACATACACTAAAAATATTCAAACAAACCTCAGCATGGCAGCGCAATTTAGTACTACGTTCATCTGAAACCATTGAAACGGCCTTTACAAATAAATTCTCCATTGTAAATTTGTAATTGATTAATGTGGAAATTCGTTTTTTCATACCTTTGTTCCTCGTCCCATTGATATTTGATCTTTCCCTCTGATCTTTCCCTCAGCCATACTTGGTGTGAGAATTTGTGCTGACTTGACTTAAATAATCTAATGCAAGGGGGATCGAAGGCAGTAGACGCCATTAACATATCCCGTCAACAAAACAGCTAAAAACTTTCTTATGTTTTAAAATCAAAATTGCTAATACATAACAATGAAACAAAATTCCACAATGCCAATAGCCAAATCAATTCTGGATTCTCTTTCTTTTGTGCGTTGACCAATAACTATGCGATTTAGTTTGTACTCTGCATAAAAAATTTGAATAATTAAGTGAAATCACTGTATTATTTCCTCTATCCAAACATGATTAGTATCACGTATATAGTACTTCTACAATTTTAGTATAACAGTCAACGGATATATTCCCTCCATTTCAAAATGTAAGTCTTTTTAGATTTGACACGTAAACTAAGGAGACAATCATCTAATAATTAATTTATTGGTTAAATATCTTTTTTATCCTTCGTTAATTACATTGAAACTATAAACAAGACTAAATAAAAATATATTAGCATCATTTATTGAGGGTAAATTTGAAAAAATCGTTATTAATTTGCCTAGAATTTGTAAAACGGCTTACATTTTGAAAAATCTCTCTAAACCTAAAACGGCCTACATTTTGAAATGGAGGGAATAATAATTATTTTGGAAATGAGAGAATTCAGACTTTTGATAATTTCACAACTTTTATTAGTCACTTGCATAGAAACCAACGCTCAATTTTCCGCGGATGCGTCCATATGTCTGAAATTTCTTTGGAGTATCGTCTAAACCCACGCTCAATTTTCCGCGGATGCGTCCATATGTTTTTGAACTTTGATTATTTGGAATTCCAAGAGATTATGATTAATCATGTAGAATGCCCGAACCCACTTACATACTCCTCCAGTCCCATAATTATTGTTCAGTTTGGATTTTCATTTTCAGTTCAAATTATACTAAAAGTGAAATCTCAAACAAGACAATAATTTTAGGACAGAGGGAGTATGTCTTTTGTATCTTCCCTCTGTTTTTCCGTAAGAAAACAAACTATCAACTTGAAAAATAAAAGAAGGCTTCTATATCCCAGATTTCAACATTTGAAACAGGCCAAACGGCATTCCTCCTAAGTGCTTGTGCTTCGACGGTTTGGAAGTCAAAGATCATGAAAGAGAAGGAAAAAGAACGCAAGACATCCTTGAATATCCCAAACTAAACAATATTAATCTTATTTACCGTCCGTTTTGCTCTTTAAACCTGACTCAAAGAAAAATTCCGAATATTTTAAAAGTCAACTGCTTTTTTTTATACTCCCTCCATCATGAAATTATTATCCAATTTAAATTGGGACGAAAGAGATATTTATTTTCCGAATCAACGATCTTATTTTGACATTTGGCTTAGGGGAGGGTAGTTCCAGTAATTCGTCGTCTAGCTCAGGCTTGCCTAAGTTTACAATAATGACATTCCAGGATCATCATAAATTCATAATCGTCAGACCTTAAGCTAGTAGGGCGGCCAGTTAGGAAATTCCACATGTTATTTTGGGCAATAAAGGAGTTTTAGACTATTATAAAGTCTTATATACAATAAAAAGTCAGACTTATTAAAACCCTTGAGTCAGTTCTCACGAAAAGAAAAGAAAAATCACTCTCTTTTTCTTCTTTTTTTGGTGCAAGAAAAAACCAACATTTACTCACTTTTGATCAGTGATTACTATAACAATCTGCTATTATATATTAAAAAAAATAGAAAAAGAAGAAAGAAGAAAATGTTGACTCAGACTTTACTCAAATCAAAGTTTGCTTAGAACCTCAGCCGGGCGCTTTGGGCTACTTTGTTTTTGTCATCTTGAAAGCGTGATTGATGGAGACTAGTTTCCATCAAATCGTCACGGATGATGTTAATTTGTTTACACATTTACACTTCTTTTTCACTTTTTTATAACCTTCTTCTATCAGCCCCATCGATACGTTACCTGATGAGGAAGCACCCCGAGTTTCTTTAAAATAATATCTTCAAACAAATATAATTTCAAAAAAAAAAAAACTAATGCAGTACATATATTACTCTCCCATCTCACAATTAAACTCGTGTGTTCAGTTAAAATATTAAAAGTGACTTCCTTTTTTTTCCTCTTTCTGAGACGGGCAATCGAGTGTATGCATTTTGACATCTACAATATGCATTATTTTTGCACGAAAAAATCCTGCTAGGTAATTATTTATGGTATAAAAAATTATTTTTTACAAATAAATAAATTCTATCCCAATTTTGAGAATCATGTCATGAAGTGCGTGAATTGTTTACCGGAAAACAGTAAAATATGTATAATTTTATTATTATTTTGAATGTGTATAAGTAAAGGGATTGAATCTTCAACAAGTTTTAAGGGCATAACTTTTTCCTGAACAAATAAAAACGAACAAGTGAAATTGGGAACTTTTCTGAGATTAACTGTGTGTTTGGTTAACCTTGTAAAGGAGGAGGGCTAAGATAAAGTGATCAAATTTTTCAAAAGTCCTTCAATCGCACGTTAGAGGTGGTCGGTCAAATTCAACCATAGAAATCAGGACCTTTGAGTCATTAATGTCCCGAGACGGTTTTTTCTCCAAAACTAAATCAAAACCACCAAATAAGACCAACTGGATTTATGATATGATATTCCACATATCTTAAAAATGTATTGGAATATTATCACATGGGATATAATTGGAATTATGCTTTACTAATTAAATATTCCTGAGTCCTCACCCTTTTTTTTTTTGTGGAATTTGTTTTCTTTTCCCTCCTGTCACTACTACTACTATTAATTTGCTGATATTTTCTTGGAAAACTGTGCAAAGTTATATGGCTTATATGCGTTTTCGGTTTTCCCAGAGTGCCCTTTCGAGGAAGTTTTGGGACATGTAATCTCCTCCTCACTTAAGTTTAAGATAACATATTGCTCAATTCACCAGATTTTGTTGGAAATATGGTATGTGATTCAATAGTTGAAATATTCGTCGAGGACACTTTCAATTTCTTTTTTTTTTTTTTTATCCAGCTAAACTATATATGGATTTAACCAGATCAATAATAACCAGATCAGTAAATTTTAGAAAGGAATGAAAGAAATTTGATTGTTAGTATTTGCCTTGATGTGTTCACATATGCGGTTGCCATTTCGTTTCAAGTTTCAACAAGACCAAAATCACTCGTAAAGTTACATCCAAATTGTGTCATATCA